GGAGAGGAAAGGCCTTGGCATCTCCGCGGGACCCGGGTGGGAGGGGTTTGGCGGCGGCAGTCGCGGCGGCGGAGGCGGCCCGGGCGGCTGGGATGGAGCAGAAGCGCGCCGGGCGCCGGAGTACAAGCAGCTGACGGAGCCGCGCGGCGCTCGCCGTGCTTCCCCTACCGCCGCCCGAGCCGCCCGGTCGCCCGGCTCTCACCGCAGCCAGCGGACAGAGGAGGAGCTGCCCGCGCTCTGGGCGCTCGGTCAGTCCCGGCAAACTCTCCCGCTGCCCGCGCCGGGTTCGGCACCAAGCACCAGGGTACCATGGTCTACAAGACTCTCTTCGCCTTCTGCATCTTCACGGCAGGTATTTTGGGGCGCCGATCTGGCGGAGGGCTGGCCCGGCGACCAGCGCTGGGGGCGGGGGCTGAACCGGGGAGACCGGGAAATAAGTCGCCGCGCGCTGGGGGCCGGAGTGGTGCGAGCCTCCAGCGTTTCGCAGAGCTGCGTGCGCACTTGGATTTAGAGCGAGGTGCGTTTTTGGAGATCCTGGGCCGAGCCGGACCGAGGGGATGACAGGGTTCTTCCGGCCGCAGCCCGCGCCCGCACAAACTCCGGGCTTTGTGAAACAGGTGGCTGCACGATGCGTTTGAAACCCGGGTTGGCGACACTGACTGAAACTAGAGGCTTCTCGGGTCTCCGAGCACACCCTGCCAGAGTTGGGCACCAGACCTCTTGACGCGGTTGGACTCAGGGAGGAATAAGGAGAAGCAGGGGGCATCGCATCTGGGGAAGCTTTAAGCTGTGGCCGCGCACCTGGCGGGGCTGGTTTGCGTTCCCCGAGATTTGGTGGTCTCTCGTCTCCGGCGACCTTTCCTAGTTACGCGTGGGGGTGATGCGGCCTTAACAGTCTCAGGGCAGCTGCTCCGACCCGGCTCGAGCTCGTGATCACCCCTGGGGATTTGCAATTCTACCCTATGGCCTGGAAACTCCCCCAAAATATGTGCCCTGGCAGAAACTGTTAACTTGGCTAAAACTAGCGTCCTCCCCATTCCACCCACTCCCCCTACACACACTCACCCTCGGGACGGCTTCCCCACGCGCGCATCGCTGGCCTCAGGACCACGGATGGCAGCGGCCTCCAAGCAGGGCCTGGGGAGAGAAGGAGCCGGAGGAATGAGCTCGGCTTGGTGGGCGTAGAGGAGAGATTCAGAACAGCGCTTTAAGTCTGAGGGTGGGGTATCCAGTTTTTCTAGAAAATGTAGGCAGACAAGGGACAACTGACTATGGATGAGGCACTGGTGGAAAAAGCAGCCCGAGTGCGGGGACACCAGCGTGTTTAGATAAGAATGTTCCAAAGCCACGTACACAAGCCATTTGACTCATGCTTGCAGTCCGTGTGTGTATTTTTTTTCCTCCTGAATTGCTTGGGTTCCTGTAATTGTGGACACAAGTCGTTACAATCCCTTGAAAAGAAGCTAGGGGTTTCCAGGCAGCTCACAAAGGATAATGCAGTTTTGAGGAAAAGTTTCCCAACTTGAGGCTAGAGCTGGTCTTTTTCCTCTACTTGCTGAACGCCTGAGAAAGCTCCCTTTTCTCTCTGGTGTCTGCAAGGTTTGGAGGCGCGTCCGCAGAGGGTTCCCGGTCTCCTGCCGCTTTGGTTGCACAGCCTTGGGCCAGGCTGGGAGCGCCTGTATCCCCAAGTGTGACAGCCGGCTAGGCCCTAGCCCCGGGATTGCCAAGAGACGTTTACGAAATGACAGGAAAGGTGCCTTCCTTTCTCCTCTCTAGAAATCCTTTCATGAGGCTTGAGGCTCAGAAAACCTTCAGTGAGCCAGTAGAGCTGGTAGGTAGGTTTGTTGGCTAATTTTATTTAGTGGTTTGTCTTTTAATTTTTTTTTTTTTAACAACTCTGGCAGTTGGCAACGCCGGGATTAACCCTACTAAGGCAGTGTATTGTGGGTTTTTTTCCTCCCTAAGGAGCTCGAGATATATATATATATATATATATATATATATATAATTTTTTTTTTTTCTTGGCCAGTTTTAGAGTTTAGCCTCGCTATTGCTGCGGCAAGAACCTTGACCTTGTTCACGGCCCAGACTGAGGAGGCTGGTAGCTGGGGACCCGCTGCGCAGCCTCACTCATCCCTGCACACGTGTCAAAGCCAGAACAAAGAAGATCACAGCCTCCCAGTTCTGGGGTTCCCCTGACCCCGGAAGACATAGTTATGTTTCTGAGTACATCTCCCTAACAGAGTGATGAAGCGTCCTCTCCTCTGAGTTTGTGCCTCTGAAGGAATCTCTTCGGGGGTCAGTGTGTTGTTAGAGCTACTTGCAATAAGTTATCAGGAAAATAATATAAAAATAGGCATAAATACCGTACAAGGTTGTTTACATCCCAAAGTAAGGTGTTTTGAGAAACTAAAATATAACTTTTCTAGAAAAAGTTGTAAAGGAGAGAGGGACAAGTGTTCTTGAAATGAAAGTGGCATGCATGTTTCAGTGGATCATCCTGGGGCTCCCTTGGCAAAGCTCTAGATAGTTTCATCAGGCAGTTGCTTTCCCCCCACCCCATCTTTAGAGGATTCAGGAAATTTTCCATAAAACTCTTGAGGTGATACTTTCTTGAGCCAGGAATGGGGCTTAGCAGGGGACTTTTTTAGCTTAATAAATCTACTCAATACATATACATAGTGTTTTGTCCAGCCTGTATAATGGACACTTGTAAATACCTGTGCATTGTCAACAACACAGCAAAAGTAGATCTCTACACTTATTCACTTGTATTTTAAAAAGAAGGAAGAGAGAAACCTTGGGCTGTCTTCAGTTCTCTCAGAGTTGATTGGGGTAGAAAACTAGCATGGCTATTTTACAAACCGTTCCCAAACACCTCTAAGGCACTCTAAGCATACAGGAGTACTGCCTCTAAATTACAAGCCAGAACCTCCAAGGGCAGGCAGCAGAACCAAGGATGGAGGGAGGATGGCAGGCCACAGGAAGCTTCCGTCTTCATTCTCCCTCTCCTCTCTAGATTCAGTTCTTTCATTCCCACCACCGTCGTTGCTGCTCTGCAGTGCTCTATGGCTCAGTATATTAAAAAATTCCCTCACTGAGACATCTGAGGTATACTGGAACTTCCCAGAGTCCTTTTCCAAACATTCAAGGAGTTCAAGGGGAAACAAGCATAGGTAAGAGAGGCAAAAGTCCCTTGACCCAGTTTTTGCTGCCTTAGGTTCTGCCCTGTCTGCCCCACCCCAGCGAGAGTACTGCAATCTGCCCCATTACCCAAGCTTACTTATTGGTCCCTTGGTTGTTGCGGTCCGGGAGCCACACGCCTGGAGTCAAGTTCCCCGGTAAATGCGACCCGTGTCCCAACCAAGGACACCCGAGAATCACCAACACCGAGTAGAAAGATTAGCAAAGGATTTATACAAGTACAAGTACAGAAGCTTACACAAACTGTCCGGACAGGGTCCCACTCGGAGAGAAGTGAGTGAGACCCCCGACTAACAGTCGGGCGAGGCTTTTATACCCTTCACAGGGCGGGAAGTCCCCAAGGCCGGAGGGAGCTGTTTAATTTTGAATCAGCCAATCAGGAACCTGGTTCTTCCCGCCCCAAGCAAGCAAGCAAGTTTCTTACAGAAGCCAAAATGTGCTGTTAGCCCTGAAGCTGTTCTTCCATTTCTTTCGTCACATGGTGATCAAGACCAGCAGAGCTAGATTCCAGTCTGCCGCCCAGCTAGACTATTTGTGTCCCAGGCCTGTCAGCTAGCTCTTCAAGTGACTAACATCTCAAATGTCCTTATCCTCAAAGGAAGACCCCACCCTACACATTTATGGCTCTCTTCTCAGTATAGGTCCTGATATATGGCAGGGCTTTATCATAAGCATATTAAAGCCATATCGTAAATCTTATCATAAACATGTTAAAAATAAACCAAAAAATGCACACACATTTATGGGAATGGCAAGGTTGCCTGTGGTTGGTTGGGAGTGGAGGTAAAGGGTGGCTTGCATCCCTTTAGCCTGGTTACCTCCTATTCCCCTGAAGTCTGTGTCACAGAGTGACACCTCCTTCTCTGTGAAACCTACCTGAGAAGGTGGAAGTTCTCCATTATTATGGGATAGATTTGCTGATTCTGCAGCTAGATTGCCTCAGGACAAAGCGAAGTTTTACTACTTACTAATTGTATAATTTAGGGCACATAATCTAACCTCTCAAGTTTTCTTATCTACAAAAATGGGGAAATAAAACTTCATCAGACTGTTAAAAGTGGTAAATAACTGAATATACCTATAACGCCTGGGACCATAGTAAGCGCTTGATAACTATTAGCAATTGTTGTTGCTATTATTCTTATTAATAAAGTTGACTGTGTTTGGCACCAGTTAGATCATCCTTTCCAAAGTTTATATGTTTGTGCTTGGACTATGTAAATTGAAGATTTAAACTAATATTCCAGCACAATGCCAGCTGTTCTGGCAAACACTCATGTGCAAATTAAGAAAAGATTCAGCTGAGCCTACTAAATGCCTAATTTGAAGAGATTAATAATGTGCCAGTTCAAATTTAGCACAACAGTCCAAAAAACGCTCAGTAACAAACAGAAGTAAAGTCTCACGGAAGATGTTATTTCTTCCACAAAGTCTTTTGCAGACTGGTGTGTTTCAAAAGCCCAACTCAGCTAAACCTTAAGGTCAGGTTCCCAGAGCCACAAATTTTGGATAATTCAGATCAAACAACTTAGGAAAAGGCATTTCATGGCATATGAATGATCCAGAATGGCTCTCTTCAGAATCCAAAAACATCAATAATGGCCAGATCTCTAATTTAACTTGATCATTTGGGCCTGGTCTAGTGGTGCTTTCATCGTGCTTGTGCTTTTATAAGAAAAATATTGGCCAAATATTTACACTGTTTGAGCAGATTTTCTTAAACTACAATTTTGGGGGGGACAGGGGTGGGGCTGAGGGGTACAGCATCCACTGGAAACAACAAAGAGGGACATTTAAAAAATATTTTCACAGTGTATTGACTGTTTTAACACCCAGTGAAAGGAATGGAATCCTGCTCTAACATTTACGATGCTTTTCTCCCTTTTAGAAGTTACCGAAATTGGATACGTTACTTTAGGAATCAAATATAGTCATCCCTAAGTATCCAGAACCTGGCCCCCATATCAAAATCCTCAGATGCTCAAGTTTCTTATATAAAATGATATATCGTATTTGCATATAACCTACGCACATCTTCCTGTATACTCTAAATCACCTCTAGGTTGCTTTATAATACCTAACGCAATGTAAATGCTGTGTAAATAGTTGCCAGCATGCAGCAAGTTCAAGTTTTGCTTTTTGGATTCT